AAACTCATCCCGAAACTCGGCCCGAAATCGAAGACCTCTAGATTTTGTAGAGATTGACTTTTAACAACGTTTATGACATATATAGTTCTGGGTTGATAACAACCTATGATACTCGCTTCAGGAGTAAACAACGTTTGCTGTGAATCGCCACGGTTTTCAAGGCAGACCCTTGAAACTAAACATCTCTTACCTGAGTTGCATTAAAGACATGTTCGTGATGACCGTCTTAGATTTGTTGTGAATCTCCTTGTGTGGGCTCGAACGGAATATACGTTCGCTCTCCTCAGCTGCTGAGCGCAGTTTTTTCTTCACTAGTTATAGAAGTTTGCACATGAATTCGAACAACTACAAAGTATTTCCTCAGAATTTTCATATTTTCACCAACACACGCAGTTTCTGCGAGTGTCTTCCGCCTGAGGCTCACAACGATCCCCTCTTCCTGGCATGACCAAGGGTATCTTAGGTTGCACTGCGCAAGATACGGATTAGGCCCAAATCTGGCATCATTTCTCGGAACTTTGTTCAGCAGTGTGGGAAAATATGCACATGGTCAACTACATGTGTTGCTATCAATATGAAAATTCTTACTAGTTTCTGTACACTTCCACATGAATTCTATAATTTTTGAGTTCAGTTGAGGAAACTCGTGATTTCGATTAATCACCAAGGCGGACCTCATCCGTATCTTCCACTGTCAACCTAAAGATACGTCTATTGATGATCAATAGCGTTTCAATTCGCCACTTCAGCGGAGTAACCGGAGCTCTTCTAAGGCGACCTACAGGAAAGACACCTCTACCCACAGACGCGCATAGCCTCACGCCCCTTCCTCCTCCCGATGCGATGATCCATCTCACTCGCGACGAGCGAGAGCATCTCATACATGGGGTGTCACCACTAGAGCCTCCCAGCCCTACTTTAGATCCACAGGTGAGTATTTACAGCAACAGGGAAAAATTTTCCGGGAAATTATTTCTGTACATTCCTCCAGAGCTCGAAGCTCTGCTGAGCTTAGGTGAGGAAAGCAAACATAAATTTCTTGACAGATCCCCACCACTGGTCACGGCACTGCTCCCACATTCACCATCTATGCCAACGAGCCTCTAGTAAAACTAGTACCACGTCTCAGCAGCCGAGGTTGGTCCTCATATAATTGTGGTTGTGCCAGTTGCATAAACTTTCAGGTAAGCTCGAAGACCTCGTTGTGAATGTCGTGATGAGAGCAGTTGATGCCCAGCGGACTAAGGAGCCCATTGATCGCCTCGCAGCTGTAGATCAACTCCAAAGCGAACTATATGTTGCTATAAGCCTAATGCTCGACCGGTAGGTCCAGTGCTGGAGTAGGAATATATGTTCGCTTTCCTCAGCTGCTGAACTCAACAGAGTTATGAAAATGTTCAGAAATCAATAAGAAATTCCTCAGAATTTCATTAATCTCGCTAATTATCGAAGTTTATATATGAATTAGGTCGAGAAACCAACAAAAATTTCTCCAGAAATTTCCCAAGAATTTTCATATTGTCATCAACACATGTAGTTGACCATGTGCGTATTTTCCCACACTGATTATCATTTTTTGTCAAAATTTTCGCGAAAAAAATGAAATTTTTCCACTTTTTTCCTGCAGGCATTTCGCCCATCCAAAATCGCATAATATTTTCGCCCTACTGAATCGCGACTTGGTGAAACGCGTCGCCCCCAAGATCAAACGAAAACAGTATCAGCTGGTGAAAGATATGGTGTATCAACCGCTTTTACGGTGAGAAAAATAATTGTGGTCGTGCTGGTTGCATAAAATTTTCCCTGTAGGTTTGGCATCAATCGTAGTGGAAATATCGCGAAGTTTGACCCGAATTATATTCTCGAGGCTGCGGGGCCGTATGGGTTCATGAGCGTTTATAAAAAGTAAGAAAACAATAAAGTTTCATCCTAGTGGTATGAAAAATATATTTTATATCATCGCGAATATTAGGCCACTTCACGTAACACGTGTGAAACTCGAGTAATATGTTTTTCATATCACTAGGGTGAAATTGCAGTGCTCAGTGGAGTTTCACCCTAGTGATATGAAAAACACCAGTGAAGAGTATATTTCACGGCGTTTTTCACGGAGTTTTACGCTACTTCACGTAAAACGGGGGAAACTTTTATATTTTACCTCCTGCTGAGTGCCCTCAGCAGTGTGGGAAAACGTGTTTGCTCTCTCTAGCTGAGCT